GACTGAAGGAACAGAACGGAGAACCCAGAAGCATATCCACACACCTGCAGTGAACTCATTTTCAACAAAGATGCCAAGGACATACACTGCCAGATAGCAGGGTTGATGTGCTCTTCATTTTCATGTTGCTAAGAACTGGCACAGGCTAAGTTCCAAATAAATGTTTGCTGACATACAATACAAGCCTTAGGGGCTACTGACATGTGAGGGCTGTTGTCACATAGCAAAGGATCTCAGGCTACTTTGCTTTTTGAGTTCTTGAGCTTACTTTGATGGTTTTTCTTTCTCTTCTCTTCCTGTTAATCTGTCAGGATAGTCTGCTTCCTGCCCTGTGTCCAGAAGCCCCACTTTCCTCTTTCCTAAATTACTGTCATTCTGTTGTGTTGTAGAAAATGAGATAGCAAAGCTTGTTGTAATCCTCACAAAATGAAGTTCTTTGGGGTCTGAGCAAATGCCTCCAAAAGCTCCTCTTCTGAGCCCAGCGTGTGAACCTAGAGACATTTCCCAGTGACTGCAGGTGGCTGAGGTTTCTGGATAATGGCCCTCAAAATAAATCAGGGTATTATTATAGAATACTAATTCTTAAAACTTTCAAATGAGCAATATGGCCATCTCAAAGTTGTGGAGAATCCCTGGGAGTTTTCAAAACTTGAGGAATATAAAAGGTAAGTAAAAAGTAAGAATTTAATACTATAAATTAACCCTAAAGTAATTCATTCCATGGAAAAGGTTATGAATGAGAATTATGGACAGATAGCATAGGAACATTTATAATTAAATTTACAATGATATTAGGAAAGTCTGTTCACTAAGTCAATGACCTAATCCTGTCAACACTTTTTTTTTCAGCCGTATGGTTCCCAAGCTACTTCATTCTACTCCATGTCAGAGGACTGTGTATTCCCATGAGATCAGCCAAGTTTTTCTGGAGGTCAAATAATCTCCCCCAGCCACTGGGCCCACAGCCTGTGTGTGTGTGGGGTGTGCCGATTTGGCTGTCTGGCTCTTCTCCTGTGTCCTAAGAACCACCTGCCCCAGGTGGCTGCCTGCCAGGTTGGAACCCCTAGTGAAAAGGCCGGTGGTAGAGGTGTAGCAGCCAGCTCACCACACATGCAGGGAATAAGTTCTGGTCGTGACCAAGCCCTGGGATGGGGATTGTGGTTACTGCAGCAAAACTGACTAATACAAGCATTAAGGGGTATTTATTTACCTGTCTCCTAAGCTTTCCATTAGCTTAGCTTCCATGTTTTAGAATGATTTCTGGTGTATAAATATTATAGGAAGAGTTAGAGTCATGCATTTATTTTAAGCTTCTCAAATCAATAAATTGTCATTATTATACTTCTCATAAGTGTCATAAAATCTGAATTAAATAGGACCCTGGAGGTGACCTAATCATCCTCATTCTAAGTTCTTCCATAAGATTGTCTCTCAACCTCTGCTGAGCTGTTTTCACTGATATGTGGCAATGCAGACGGGTTCATCATGGGACAACCCCGATTTGTTGAAAATTCTCCACTGAAAGAGGCAGTTTATCCTCAGCCATAAGAGCGTGGACTTGACTATCAGACAAGTGTTCGTTTTCTATTGCAGCTTAACAAATTACCACACTCTCAGAAGCTGAAAGCAGCACACATTTATGATGTTGCTGTGGGTCAGGAGAGCTAACTCCTCTGCGTGGGTCTCTCAAGGGCCACAACCAAGACTGCAGGCTGGGGCTGAAATTCTCGTTCGAGCTCACAGTTGTGTTGGCAGCATTCATGCAGAACTCACGGCGGTTGGCTTCTAGAAGGCCGGGAGAGGAATCCCTGATTTCTTGTCTCCCCTTTAGGGAAGGCCTGGCTTGCTGGGTAGGTCAGGCACACCTAGGGCAATCTCCCTATGGTTGAACTGAAAGTCAACTGAATAGGGACCTTATTTACATCTTCAAAATCTCTTCACCCTCACTGTAGACATAACCTGATCTTGGGAGTGGCATCCTAGCCTGTTCACAGACCTCCCCACACTGGGGGAGAGGGGCTACAAGAGGTGTATACACCTGGGGCGGACTCTGGGGCTGACTCAGAAGCCTCCTAGCACACCTGCCTTCAGGACTGACCTCTGCAGACTGTGGCTACATCTAGTTGGTGCTGTGCTTCACCTACCTGCTTCTCAGAATCTTCAAAGAGAGAGACAAAGATAAAGCAGCTTCACTGCAGGGCTGTGATGAGGGCTCCCATGCAAAACAGCCCACAGCGTGCTTGGCATGTGATAAACCCTACCATGTTTCTAACGTTACCTTGGGTTAGAATCATGTGAATGAGGCCAATCCTTCCCCAAGTAAGACGCTCTGGTATTTGAAGTCAACCACCAGCTTCACTGGTGCGATTCTGTGGCCACAGCCCCAGGCTCTCCAGGCACTGTCTGTCCGCTGTTTCTTGGAGAAGCTTCACTGTCACTGTTAACCTGTTCAATGTTCTCTAAATGGAACACAATATTTGGGCTGAGATGCACTCTCCTTAGAACCAGAAGGTGCCTGGTCTGCCCTGATGTGGCTTCTTGGGGACGTGGGTGGCAGGGTGGGGGGGTGTAGGTGGTGAAGGCGTTCTCCTGTATCAGCCAGTGTTGTGCTCAGTTAACCCTCAGGTGCATTTCAAACGAATGATAAAGGAACCTTCCAGATCTGAGTCAGATAACTGCCGGGCTGTCTGGAATATAATTTCTTTGAATGCAGAGAGAGCTCAAAAGTGTGCATTCTGGACAACACATACGACATGCCCCGACAAGGACATGTCACCAGCGCAGAACGCAGGAGGCCTTCAGGGCTGGACCATGGAGGTGGGTGCAGCATGAAGCTCGAGCGTCGCGTTCGCTGGGTGACCTCGCTGCACCGCGGGAGACGCGAGTGTTCTGAGCCTTGATAATCTCCCATTAATTTGATTTTTCCAAGACCTTACAGAACACTGGTTATATTTAGTTCCAGAGGCCTCCAGGAAAGAGATGGCTGGCTGCTAACATTTCCATCTTTAAGAAGATGAAGTGGGTTCTGAAACAGATGAGATGATGCTGACTTTCCTTTTTGCGGGGCGTAGGTGCAGGGGTGGTGGGTCCTGGGTGTCAGGTAGGCATCTTTTGTAGGATTCTGGATGTTGCCTTTACCTTGAGGAATAGTATTACAAGTCCCTGCACAAAGGCAAAAGCTCTGGTTGCTATGGCAATAGCCAATCTGAGGAAGCTGTGACCTAAATCATGACTGAGAAAAATAGTACCTTGTCTGTATCATCGCCGCTATCGCTTCCTTGGATTAGGGGAGGCAGCATTTATTACCTAAAATGAACTCTTTTACCTCAGGAAAAGTGAAACAGTGATATTTTTCTGCAGAAACTTTTAGGGAACACAGGTCATAAAAACTGTGCTGCTGCAGGATCAAAGAAGGGGAAGAGGTGGCCCAGGGCATTCTGCTCCCAGGTGAGGCCAGTCCCTTTCCCTGCACAGGGGCTGCTCCACCAGCCGGGGCCTCCAGGAAGGGCTCCAAGAGCCCCACCTGGAAGCCGACCACCTGCCCATCCTCAGCAGGTGTGCCTGTCACACACCTGGCTCACACAGCGCACACACATGGCACCTCACCTCACATAGACCATGTGCACAACACACTAGGCACATGTACACTAGGCACACACACAACACACATCCTGCACACAACATGGATCATGCACACACACACGGCACACAACACACGCCAGGCACTCAACACAGACCATGCATACGCACACATGCAGGGCCCATGCACAGCCCACACAACACACACCAGACACATAACTCAGACCAGGCACACACACATGGCACACACACACAAGGCACACAACACACTCCAGGCACACAATACAGACCATGCACACAAACACACACAACACACCATGACACACCCATACTTTACAAGGCCCTTGCCTCCAGGCACAATCTGGACCATGCACAAACACACAACACACCATGTACACACACACAACACATAGCCATCACAGACCGCACACACACATGGCATAGAACCACACCATGCACCCCAACACACAGGCACACAATATAGACCATGCCCCAAACACACACAACACACCATGTACACACAACACACTGCACACACAGACCATACACACACACACATACAACCACACACCATGCACACAGCACACAGAGTACACAATGCACACCAGGCACACCACAGCCACATACAACACACACCAGGCCACACAGGCCACGGACCATGCTGCACACACAGGCCTTACACACACACACAAGGCACTTATCATGCACATACACAACACACACCATGCATACAGACACATACCATGCAGACACAACACACATAATACACAGCACACAACACATAAAACACAACACACGGAAAACAAAAACACACAACACACACACACCATACATGAAACACACAAACACACTACCTCAAACACCACATATCCCACATACACCCCACACACCACATGCACCACACAGATGCACCATGCATGCACACGCCGACACACAGACACACACCACACAGTGAGAGCGCCACGTGCTCTCCTGAAGGCCTCTGCATTGCACAGATGCGGTGGTGATCTTGATCAGTTGTATTGAAATCTTCAGTAGAAGGGTTCAGGATGATTGTCACTTTCTGCTCTAGTGAGAAATGCCCACAAGCTCCCTGACTGTGATGCCTCCTGTGGTCTGGCCTGGAGCCTGGTGCCTGGGCAGGAGTGGTGCTGAGCTGGTGAGGGCAGACATCCCCTCTTCCGCAGCCTGCACGCATGGACGTGTGTGTGTGTGTGTGTGTGTGTGTGTGTGTGTGTCGGTAAGTTCACTCACCCTGGCACATCAGAACCCACAGTCTCGCTGTATAGCCCCACGTCCCTTTGTTGGTGTTAATTAAGTCACCCCTGACATGGGTTTGGAAACTGGGGCTGAAGTGGAGACTGGCCTTGGTGAAATGGTCCACATCCCTGACCACTTTTGCCTTTTTTATTCTTCCTCAGCCTGAACATCCAGGTGATGAAATCCTGAGTGCCTGAGGACAATTAAGGACATTCGGGAATCAAGGTTGATGTCTATGCTACTCTCAGGGACGTTGACAAAAGCTCTCGGCCTGGGAGAGATGATGCTAAAATTGCCTGCCTCCCTAGGCCACCTGGTCTCTCCAACATCTGTCGAGAATCTGGCTCCGAGACTCTTACAGCTCCAGGACAGTGAGCACCGCACAGGACGGGTGTCAACGCTGCAGACAACTGTGCCACACGGGGTGTGCTCAGGGGAGCTGTGCTGCAGCCTCGTCAGCTTCCAGGCTCTTCCAGGCTGTCCCTGTTCTTAGAGGGATGACAGAGGATGCCTGGGACTCATTTCCTTAACAAGGATTTCCAGTTGCCCAAACTGACGAGACTTTATGCCGTGTCCAGCACAAAGAGTGCTTGCAAATTGGTGGTGAGGACATTGCCCTCATTCACCCCATGCCGCTCTCAGCACCGATCCTCTGCACCTCAGTCAGCAGAGCTCATGGAGCTGCTCGTCCATCCTCTCTCTTTCATCCTCCTTGAACAGCAGGCGGGGACGGTTGGGATTTGTTATAAAAATGGGAACAACTACCCAGGAGGCTGAGGCCGGAGGATAGATTGAGTCCAGGAGGTCGAGGCTGCTGTGACCTGGATCACACCACTGCACTCTGGCCTGGGCAACAGAGCGAGACCCTGTGTCAAAGAAACGAAAGACAAAGATAGGAACACCATCTCCATTTATTTCTTTTGTTACTCCAAAAGCAAAATGAGGGTTTCAGATTTGCTTTGTTTTTTCACCTGGAAGGTTTGACGTGGGCACAATCTTCTTTTCCCCCTTCCCTTCCAGTTCAGCGTCTCCATCCAGTGTGGTCCCCCTGCATCAGGCATGACAGTGCTCCCTGCGGAACAGGGGAGCCATCAGGAATAGGTCCATAGACGTGAAGGTGCTAGCCATATTCTCCATCACTTTCACCTCCTCCCTCCCAGCCAGCCCTTTCTTGCCCTGTGTCCCACCCTTCAGAACTCTATGGTGGTGGAGCTAATGCCGCCAATCCTCAAACATCCAAGTTGATAATCATTCCATATTTCACTCCTGTGGAGGGAATGTGCATTTTATCACGGTCTCTGAAGCATTCGTATTAGGAATTAAACTCTAGTGCTAAAGGGTCAGGTGCATTCAGTAGCAGGTAAGTAGGCAATGCATGTGGGGAAGGCACAGTTGGCCCCTGGGCTGGTCTCATATGTGTGGCTGTCCAGGTGATAATATTTCAAAGAGTAGTGAAGGGTCCTTTGTCCTCACTGCCCTGCTGCTGTTCTCTCTTATCCTGCCTGAACCAGCCTGGACTTTCAACGAAGTCCGTGCAAAGACTCCATCCCTAGATGATCACTTTGTCTGGTATGTTTCTGCATTAAGTTGTTGAACAACAGTGCAAGTAAATTAAGGTCCATGAAAAAAGAAGCCATTTGAATGATGAGCTTGCTACAATAATCTATGTGCACAAAGATACCCAGATTGGCTGGCTCTTTAGGGGTTGGGTCTTCAGAATAAGCATCTGGGTGGCTCGGCCACGTGAGTCTCTATTCACTGGGCCACCAGCAGGATGGCCAGGGCAGGAGCTCAAATGCTTTCTGGGAGGGGCTTTTGGTGGCTTGTTCCCCCACAACATACAACCACTGGTTTTTATGAGATTAGGAAAGGCTTAGACCCTGTTCACCACCGAGGCCCAAAGTAGAAAAGCCACATCCTGAAAAGGAGGCAGAAGAAAGAGGCAGACCTGGCCCAAGAAGGGACCTTGGCTAGGAGTCTGTCCACTATGTAACCAGGGAGGTTCCTTTCTGCACTGCAGCTGAATAAATGCACAAGTGTGATCCACTAGGACACTGCCCACTACATGGCCTGGGAGGCCCCTTTTCACACCAGAGCTAAATAAATGCACAAATGCGATCCACTAGGACACTGCCCACTACATGGCCTGGGAGGCCCCTTTTCACACCAGAGCTAAATAAATGCAGAAGTGTGATCCACTAGGACACTGCCCACTACATGGCCTGAGAGGCCCCTTTTCACACCAGAGCTAAATAAATGCACAAGTATGATCCTCTAGCTCTCCATGCAGTGGCCACATGGAACATGGGGCATTTCCAGGGCAGAGGTCCAGGAAAAGCAGTGAGGGCCCATCCCCACCCAGGACTGGGGTCTGATTTCCTGCAGCCATGCCAGTCAGCGTCCCTAACCACTAAGATGGGGATAACACATGGGGTCCACTCACTGGGTGTGTGCTCCCAGCCTTACCACTTTGCTCAACTGTAAAGTGGGACTGAGAACCCCATAGGGTTGTTATGGAGATTAAAGGGTTTCATACTTGTAAAGCACACAAAACAGTGCCTGGCACATCACAAGGACCATGGAAGCGTTAGCACAGGCATTCGTGTTAGTGGTACCATGAGCGTTAGCACTATTAGTATGAGCATCAGCATTACTATTGGCACTCGCATTAAGATTATTACTAGCGTTAGCATTATTTTACTCTTGGTATTAGCATTAGTATCAATGTTCCTATTAGCATTAGTATTACTAGTGATATTAGCACTATTACTAGTGTCACTATTAGCATTACTGTTATTAGCATTAGCACTAGCATTAGTGTTACTATTAGCATTAGCATCACTACCTGTATAATTATAGTATTAGAATTAGCATTAGTGTGTATTGTTATTAGCATTATCATTAGTGTTAGCATTATTACTAGTATTAGCATTAGCATCTGGTATTACATCAGCATTAGGATCAGCATTAGCAGTGACATTAGTATTAGCACTAGCATTAATAATATTACCAGCATTTGCATTACTACTGGTATCAGCATTAGCATTAGCATTAGCATCCATGTTACTATTGCCATTACTGCTGGTGTTAATATCAGCATTTGTATTGGTATCAGTGTTACTCCTAGCGTCAGCATTACTACTCACATCAGTACTAGCATTAGCACTGGCGTTGGTGGTACTATTGGCATTAGTGTTGCTATTGATATCAGTATCAGCACCAGCCTGCATATTAGCATTAGCGTTCTGCATCCTAGAGCAGGGAGAAAGACCCCACGCAGCACATCAGAACTGGTGGCAACATGTGTGGCTTCTCTTATGTCTACTGAATTTGAGAGTCACCTGGGGGCTGTCACGGTAGACAGATGCCACACGGGAGACAGAGAAGCCGCATCCCATGTCCCATGGCTGCCCTTATTGGAAGTTCCACGTGTTGTGACCCCTGCCTCTGTCCAATTATCTCTTCTGTTCTCTTTGACTCCTTCCCAGAAGACGCTCCTGCAGGGCCCTCCAAGCTCTGGGGACCTGACTTTATCAGCCTCTCCAGGGAGGACACCTGTTTTCTTCCCCCGTTCCCCGCAGCCCTGCGCGGGTCCTGGTGGTGGCTCTACCTTCCAGGCCGAGTTCGCCTGCAAGGTCTTGGGGGTGCCCCTCCCCCTCCCCAGAATGGCATCACGAGGCCCGGGCCTCCATGCAGACCTGTCCTGTGCCGTCTCAGCCGCCCAAGCACTCCCTGCCAGCGGTGGGGCACATCCATCCCAGGAGGCCGGGACCTCGGGGAGAGCCCCCCCACGCTCCATTTCTGTCCTCCCCGCGGGCTCTGTGGGTGGAATGCGCCGCTTCCCACGTGCTGCCCTTGTCGTTGACATTCTGATGCAGTCTGTAATCAACGCAAGCTTCAGCTCCTCTCATTACTGGCTCTTGAAGGGATTCTTCAGACTCAGCAAGAACAGCCGCCTCGTCAGAGGACAGCATCTGCTCCCCCCGACCCCGCCCGCCGCCCGCGACAGACAGGGGGGTGCGCATTTGCATTCGGGTGCTCAGCCCGGGAAGGTGCCCGGGAGGTGCGGCCTGCTCTGCCGCTCCTGTCCGGGCTCCGTGGACTCTTCCCCTCACCTGAACCACAGGTGGCTCCTGTCCTGGTTCTGGGTCACGGAGCTGCAGGGTTCTCATGGGGACACTGGGCACTACGGTCCCCACTCCACCTTTACAACATGGACTCTGACCAGGGAATGGGACTGGGGGCAGGAGTGTGTCCTCATAGATGTACGTAATTTAAACCCCACATGTTCCCAAAAAGGACCTATCGCAATGCAATTACAACCCACATATCGTGATTAATTAAAAAACTAAACAGACCTTAAGAAATGCGTATGTGTGCACACACATGTAAGCATGTCTGGTGGAGGAGAAACGTGCAGAACTGCAACAGGACCAGAAGCTGGCAGGGACGCAAGCAAGTGCTGTAAGATCTGACGTGATTTTTAAGACGGGGCTGTAGGTTCAACTCTGATTGTAGTAGCAGCGAAAATGAAGAAGGAGTTGTGACATTTTCCAAAGTTTATTTTTGTTTTGAGCTAAAGTCACACCAGTGGCAAGGTCAAGAAAAGGTGACTGAAGAAGATCTCAGTGCTCAGAAGGGGACGCAAGGTGGGTGCAGCCAGGTGGCAGCCAGGCCATCATGATCGTCCTACAGTTAGCCAGGCAGACGCAGCCTGGCAGCACCCACAGAGGACCCTGGGATTTCAGGTCAAAGGAATTCTTCAAGGGGAGATAAAAAAGAGACAGCTTTTTAGTGTCTTGGCTTAATGGAGAGATAAAAGCAGAACACCTAGAAGAATAGATGGGTCTGAGCAACTTGTCCCAAGGCACAGTCAGTGGGAGATGGAGCCTGGCCTCGAACCTGGGTCTCCTGACACTGTGCCCAAAGGGCAATGCCAATCCTAAGCTGCTTCCGGCTGCCATGCCTCTCCAAGCCACACCCGCCCCTGTGGCATTTCTCTGTTCCGTGGGTTCAATCGATGATGATGTCATGGATATTTGAATTCCATTGAGGTAATTTCTAGTTTTATACTTTCCCACTACGAACATTTAAGGCCCATTAAGAAGGCTTAAGTTACCCATGTTTTCAGAGGTTTTCAGAGCTACCTAAAACAAACAAGAAAGCATCTATAAGTGTTTTATTTTTGGTGTAATTTCGAATTCATCTGTTGTCTCGTTTGAGACTAAGAATTAAAAGATTAAAAACAGACTTCCTAAGGGACAGTAACCAGGTAAGCCACAGTGGGTGTTCTTTCCATAACACTGAAAATTTATTTGGTTTAGGAGGCAGACATCTGAAAAGTAAACAGAGAAAAGCTCCCTAAGGGGGACCACAAGGTAGGCTGAAGCAAAAGTTTTCTCAATAAAAACAGAATTTATTTGGTTTGAGAGGCAGACACTGGAGTAGCAAACGGAGATGTTACAAAAAAATATAACCTGTCCCACCACAGAGAAAATTCTGTGCAAGGCATGGCCATCACTCAGAGATCTGCCCTAAATTTATAGAAAATATAGGCCAGAAAGGGATAGAATTGAAACTGAGTTGTTTGTTATTCTCCTGAAGAGGGAAGAGCAGCTAAAATCACCTTGATTAGTTATGAGCCCCTGACATTCAGTGGAACTTTACTATTTCACTGTCCTGGGTTTCTTTTCTTTTTTTTTTCCCCCGCTGTGGGACAATGGTTTGATTAGACTGTATCAGCCCAGAGTCCCCTGCCCAATCAGAATTCAAAAGTTCCTGCTACCAGAGATACCAAAGGATCCATTTCTTCATGTATATAAAAAAATAAACCCACAATTTATACGTTGAAGGCTTTTTTAAGTAACATATGCACATGTAAAAAAATTCAAAAATTATAAAAATAATAGAGCAAAAAAGCATTTTCCTTCCCACTGCCATCCCGTTGCCAACTGGAACCCTTCATGGAGGTGGCTGCTGGGTTCTTCCAGTTACACATATGCGGGTGCGCGGCGGGCACACGGTGGGCACGTACACCAGCGCACACACTCCCCCCTTATGTCGCATGCTCTGTATGTCCTGCATTAACAACAGTTATAGCAGAATTTTGTTTCATATAAAAGCATCTAAAATGGCTCCATTCTTCACACCTGTATGACATTTCATTGCGTAGCTATAGCGTGACTTGTTTGACCTGTTTTCTCTGCTGTTCTCAATCTTTTGCAATTAAAATCAGTGCTACGTTGAGTATCGTTTTATGTATGCCATTCTCATGTATAGGACAAATCATTAGAAGTGGAATGGCAGGGTCAATGGTATGAGAGATTTCAGTGTTTATAGCTCTTACCAGGTTTTTCCCCTCAAAGCTTTGCCTATTGAGTCATCTCTGCACCGCAAAGCCCGCTTCCCCAGCTCTTAACAGAATAATATGTCATCGGGTGCTTTAATCTTTGTCTAAGTGACAGATTTCTAAGCATTATTTCCTTGTATTTTTAATGTATACTTCTCTTATTCTGAGCGATAGTTTCTTTTTATATACCTAAGAGTTACTTGGATTTCCTTTTCAATGAAGTATATGCTTGGAAAAATTGCCAATTTTTCTATTGTATTTTTTGGTTTTTTATTTGAAAAACCCTTTGTAGATAAAAATTGCCTCTTTTCTGTTATGTCTTGCAAATATTTTCTATTTTCCTACTTTGAATTGTTTTTTGACTGTATTTCCCACACTTTTCCTTATAAAGATAATATTTTATATTTTTAAGTATTATACCAATTTTTATGGCTTCTGATTTTTGTATCATACTCTAAGATTTAAAGAAACCACCCCATATTTTCTTAGACTATTCTTATATTTGGGGTTTTATGTGTAAAATGGTATCATTCTAAAATTTACATTTGTTGAAGAAGTGAGCAGTGCTGTAACTTCATGTTTTTTCCAATGCAAACCCACTTATCACAACATTATTGATGAGACCATTCATCTTTCTCTCTACTGATTTGAATTTCCCCTTTTATTCTACATGAAATTCTATATTTATTTGGTCCTATTAATCGACTTTGTCTTCTTTTACATTGATCTATTTATCTATTCGTGTACCAGTGTAATGCAGTTTGATAATTACAGCTTGATTCCTTCCCATTCATTTCTCTTCTGCAAAGTTGTCCTGGCATAATACTTTCTGCAGGTTTTTCTTTCTTTTCTTTTTTTTATGAACTGAATCTACCTGATTTTTTTTTTTTTTTTTTGCATCCTTTTATTTTTGAAATTTCTGAGTCACTGTTGAGGTGTGCTTCTTGTGTATTATATTGGCTGCCATGGTATACTATTAATATACTCTACCTGATCTTTTTCTTTAAATATAGGAGTTTATTACATGTCTATTTCTTAACTAATGGATGTTTGCTTGTAGCATTAATCCACATTTGATGTTGCTGTCATCTTCAAGTTTGTGTGCCTCTCAAAATAACAATATGTTGAATTCAAATCCCCAATGTGTTGTTGTTGAGAGGTGGGGCCTTTGGGGGGTGATGAGGTCATGAGGATGGAGCCCTGTGAATGGGATTAGTGCCCTTTTAGAGAACGAGCTTATTTATCCCTCTTGAGCTTCCACCACGTGACGGCACATAGAAGGTGCCATCAATGAGGAATAGGCCCTCACCAGGCACCGAATCTTCTGGCACCTTGATTGTGGACTTCCCAGCCTCCAGAATGGTGAGCAATGAAGTCATATTGTTTATAAATTGCCCAGTCTCAGGTATTTTGTTACTGCAGCCCAAGACATATGTCAGGCTTTGGATATTTATTGATTCTTATGTTTCATAGTCTGTCATATTATTTTGTTGTGTGTTTTGCTTTGGTGTGTTTTGTATACTTATAGATTTGTTTTTATTTCTGTAAAGTTTTTTGAATTATATCTTGCAATATTTTTATGTCCTGTTATTTTAGTTCTCTTCAGGGATGCTCATGTATGTGTGTCAAGAGCTTTCTTTTGTCTAGCTTTAAAATCTAACATTCTGTCCCTGTCTTTTTTGCTTTGTGCAGTAGTTATATTTCATTTTCACTTCTCCGTGTCCCTCACTGTGTTCATAGACATGTCTTATCTCCTTTGTGCTGTTTTTGATATGACTTCTGGTCTGTGGTGATTTTATGTTCTGCTCATTTCTGGAATGTCTCCAGCTCCTGATCCATTCTGATGGGGGTCTTACTTTGTGTTCATAACCACTAACTTCATGTGTCACTTCCCTCCCCACCTCACTTATAGCAAAACTCTACAAAATGCTTTTCTATCCTTGTGTGACCTTCCTCTTCTCCCATTTTCTTTTTAGCTCACTCCAATCAGCCATTTAGCCTTCCACCATTCCATGGAAATTGCTCCTCCTCAAGCCACCAAAGGTCTGGAAATTGTCAAGTCCAGGGGTAGATTCTAAGTTCTCACCTGACTCCACTTATCAGAGGTTTTCACTCATATGCTCCCAGCCTCCTTAAAAGACACAGCCATGTGGCCTCCAGGATATCCCTCTCTCTACATTCTCAACCTACTTCACTGGCCTTCCTTCTCAACTTCCTTTTATGGTTCATCTTTTGGCCCCTAAAATTGTCTTGTCCTAGGGCTTCCTTTGGTCCATTTCTCTTCTGTGTGTACCTTCATTCTCTTAGTGATTTCATTTGACCTGGGAGCTATATTATAATACTATAGGCTAAAAGATATGCAGAATCACACGTTAAGCCCACATGTCTATGCTGAAGTCTAGAGTTACATTATCTGCATACCTTACACCATCATTTGTTTGTTTTTTGACATTGCAAGCTTGATAGATCAGAGGCCTGATCTCCACCCCTTTCCTGCACTCCTCCTTTTGATGTCTTTCCTACTTGGAAAGTGAACCCAAACCACTGGAAGAATGCAGTTCTTGAAACAGTGACCACTCTTGGGCTGTGCCTGGAAAATAAGGTGTTGCCCTGGGACTGCCATTGGTCCTGGGAGTGGCAGCGATGGACCAGAGTTATTGGAACAATGCAAGCCTATGCCTTCAACTGCTCAGGTGCAAACTCAGACTTATCCACAACTTCAGTCTTTCATATCTCACATCCAATCTGTCTGCAATTCTTGTCAACTCTACCTGCGAAGTATACCCAAAACTTAACCACTTGTAATCATTTCTAACACCACCATTGGGTCCAACCCATTCATATAAAATGAAGCAAACATTGTCTGATATTTCTCTGATTAAAGTCTGTGCATATTTAATTGCATGTGCATCGTTTCTGTTGCCTTTTGTTCATGGTGTCTTGCTTTCTTGTGAACTTTTTGTTTTTGAGTCTGAGCTCACATTTACTGGAATTTTATCTATGGGGATTTTCTGAGGCCTGGTTTGAAGTCAGGCTCTGTGGAGAGGATTTTCATTTGCTTCTTCAAATGCCTGGGTTTACTCCTAAGCCCAATTAGCCAAGAACAAAAATGCTGGCTTGAGATTTTATGGACCACTGGATAAAACAAATTTGAAAGACAAACTTGCATGGGGACAGCTTTTAGTTTTGAAAACTCACAAGAGGTATTTTCACCTCTTCTACTCAAGATGGAAAATGCCTGGTCTCCTGAGAGGTATTTTTCCTAAACGATTCGTCTGAAGTCCTTTAATAAGGACAATGAAAGTTCATGGGGAGAGTTCCTCTAAACACCTCAGTCTGCCTTGAGCACCGTCCTCTTTCCTCCAATCCTGAGAGATGACGGGAATCAAAGGTCAAGTCCACCTGGTTTATCAAGTCCAGAATTAGCTTCTGTCTTATTCTTTCCTCTCTATTAGGCCTGATGAACCAGGAGGTCACTGGCTGATGCCCCCATCCCTGACCTGTCTGGCACCTGCCTGGGACACTCCTACCCTCATTCCTCTGCTGGCTCAGTAGAGCCAATTTTTAAGGGCTGCTTCTCACTCTTTTGGGCATGATAATGGCCCCATCTCTGGATCCTGTAACCCTGTCTGCTTTTCAATTTCTAATTCTGTGGTAGTCCTGTCTCTTAAGTGAGATCTGTCTCCTGATTCTTCCCAGTCCCCCTTTATACTGCCATTTGTGAGCAGAACATCATGCTTCACAAGGAGATCCTGAGTTGTGGCATGGAATAGCTTGAACTTTGCTTTTCAGTGGCCGGCGATGACCTGAGCCCTGCGCTGACAGAAGTTGCTTGACCATGATGGGTTTGTAATGTGGTGCTTTGTAATCTCACATGGCACTCCAACAAGGGCCCTGTGGAGTTTCTTCTGCAGTGACTTATATATACTCATGAAATTTATACTCAGAAAACAGAATGAGTGTGTGAAGAATATCCCATGACAGTCACAGAAACAGCAAACCCCTGCTGACAGTCCTTTCGGATAGAAACCAAAGAAGCAATCACATGTGTCTTACCCTGGGGATGCTATGCCATGTTCACCTCACAGTGGCCTGTTCTTTTCCAGAGCTTCGGAAGGTAGTTGAAGAAAGAAAACATATTGATCACGGTTTTAAAAAGAGATAGGGCAAAAAACTAGAAAAAAAAAGAAGGCGCTATACTAAAGAAAAGCCAGGAACATTGTGAAATTGTGCATGCTTTACAGTTGTCTTCTATGATTTATATTCTGTGGCACACATTTCTGCTGTTGGTAGGTCTTCAAAGATGGCTCTGTTTAGGCAACTGTACAGAGATGATTGGCACTTGGAGTTGCTTCAATATAATACCTTGAAAATGAGTAAGCAGAAGCCTTGTTATTGTTATTTTTGTATTATTATTATTATTATTATTATTATTATTATTATTATTTTTGAGGTAGAGTCTCATTCTGTTGCCCAGGCTGGAGTGCAAGGGCCGGATCTCAGCTCACTGCAAGCTCCGCCTCCTGGGTTTACACCATTCTCCTGCCTCAGCCTCCCGAGTAGCTGGGACTACAGGCGCCCACCACCTCGCCTGGCTAGTTTTTTTGTATTTTTTAGTAGAGACGGGTTTTCACCCTGTTAGCCAGGATGGTCTCGATCTCTCTACCTTGTGATCCGCCCGTCTCAGCCTCCCAAAGTGCTGGGATTACAGGCTTGAGCCACCGCGCCCGGCCTATTTTTATATTATTTTTAAGCTGACTTCTGGGACATATTCCTATGGAGCCTGAAGTTTTGTGGCACGTAGATGAGGAAATGAATGGTTGTGTCAGGCTCTTACCACCTTCTCCTCCTCTTCCAAGCTGGTGCACCCTTTCATTCAGCTGGGTCACACAAGCCCTGGTGGTGAAATTCGAGGTTTAAAAAAAAGGAAGGGTCACTTCTCAAAGATTCCAGGCAGGACCAGTGCTCAGTCAGTTCATGAAATGGTCTGATTTTCTTTGGTACCCTTCATCTCCTCTCTTTTTCTCTTGTTCTACTGTCTTGCTACATCTTCTAATTCCTAAGGATGTACCAGCTACTTTTGCCATGTATCTCACCAATGTTTTCTTACTATTGCATATGAGCAGCTAA